AAATGGCAAAGACTCAGCTAATGATCAGCTCCAGGGTGATCAAAGGAAGTCTAAAGTTCCCTGAGAGTACTGTTACAATTAGAAGATGCCTATGTGAAGCCAAGCTATCTGCAAGAAGCCCCCGCAAAGTCCCATTGTTGAAAATACAACATATGCTGAAGAGGTTACAATTTGCCAAAGAACACATTGGCTGGCCTAAAGAGAAATGGCGCAACATTTTTTGGACTGATGAAAGCAAGAATGTTCTTTTTGACTCTGTACACTGTGAAGACAGTAAAGCACGGTGGCACTAGCATCATGATATGAGGATGTTTTTCTCATATTATGGTGTTGAGCCTATTTATCGCATACCAGGGATCATGGATTAGTTTGAATACATCAAAATACTTGAAGAGGTCATGTTGCCTTATGCGGAAGAGGACATGCCCTTGAAATGGGTGTTCCAACAAGACAACAACCCCAAACACACCAGTAAGCAAACAGCATCTTGGTTCCAGACCAACAAGATTAACATTATGGAGTGGTCAGCCCAATCCCCGGATCTTAATCCAATAGAAAACTTGTGGTGTGTGTTGTTTGGCTATTTTTTTTTTGGGGTATTTATAGCTTAGATATTTGTTAAATCTTTAGATTTTAAGACCATGCGTTGGTTCATGGGTGACAAAATTCTGTTTTTAAGGTAAAACCAAGAAATGCATAGGAATTGTGGGATGTAGTGCAATTGTCCTAGGCTGGAATACCTGTTCACAGGTGCCCGAAGTTGGTTGGCTCCATGCAACACAAATGTGAAGTAGTTCTCAGAAACAGTGCTTATACAACTAAATATTAGTTCAGTAATTCACAAAAAAAGCTAAATCTTCAAGCATTTTTCAGTTCATACAGTAAATGTTTGCGTTTGTAAAGAAAAATGCAGACACTGCTTTTTTTAAAATAGCCTAATATCCCTTTTTCTTCACTTTTTTTGTAAAAGACTGTGCAGTGTTCCCAATGCATTTGCATGTATGGAAATAAAAGCTATTATAAGAATGTTGAGCTTTACTCACTTTTTTAAACAAACTGCTATTCATTTTAATACAACTGTACTTCCTTTCCACCCCAACCTTTTCAGTTAAATCTAGATTTTGGAAATAATCAAACTCTGACCCTAGTAAAAGGTCACTATTCTGGTTGTCAAAAAAACAAGAGGCTTGTAATAAAAGAACATAATAGTAACTAGTTGATACATTGATTTGTGATTGGTTGCTATGGATTTCTGCATTTTTTTGTAAGTTATGCACATCATCATTGCTCTTTTCACTGCTGTACTAGATAAACACCCTTGTGTGGTGCTGTCATTAAGTGTACGCAAAGCACTTTTTTTTTTAATGTTTTGAAAGGGTAGAAGGGTTAAAACCATTGTCAAGTGTTTATTTGTTGTTTCTAGCTGGGCAGATTCACTCTCTCTTTTTTTGTCCTTGTGACCACTGTCAAAGACAGACAGAAAGTGATAGGGAACCCAAAATTCTAGTGTTGCCCTTAGAGCAGGAGTTGAGGGGAAACTTCTACTTCCACTTTCTTTTGCATTTCCAACACAGGAAATAAATGGAAATATCCCCAATGGAAAGCAAGAAAGCAAAAAAAAAAAAAAACAAGGCGTTTTAACCCTTCCCTATGCTATCTAATACTAAAATAAAACATAATCAGCTACACATGCACTGTAAAGCACTTGTGTGTTGTAAAACACTTCCAAAACAATGTAGCTACTCAATTGTAATGTAAGACATAACCATTTTATATGGTTCACACCACAATGTGCTACTGACAACTCCTTTCTCTTACTGTCCTAAACCATTTATTTATAAAATTATTTTCTCAATTTAATCATGATGGTGCTCTAAAAAAACACAGAAAGGCAAATCTTGTGTTTGCTTTTGATGTCACAGGCCTTGGGTTTGCACGGACAGCAAGCAAAGAAGTATAAATGCAATTTCCTATTTTCAAACACCCCGTACAGTTAGGATCTTACCTTTTATTATGGGCAAATTATCTGACATATATGGAGGATGGAAAAAGCTAAGGTGCAGTGAAGTAATCTGACATTGCTATTGCTTTGATAATGTTAAATTGAAAGCAGTATTGGAAAGTGGGCACTTAGGGGCACTGGCATGTGTACTTACATAACTTGTACAGAACCCAGGTAACCCAGCAAACAGAAATGCTCTTGAAATGCAAAATTCTGACAATAGTGAAGAGTTTAGACCTGCCACCCTGAAGCCTCCTGTTTAAACAGGGATGCACCTGGATGGGGTGGGGTTTGAATCGCGTGATGGAGCAAAGAGAGCTAAACTACAGGAGCTAATCCAGGTTGACATAACAAGCACTGCCCAGTTTTGGGCTTCCTTGGCAACTCTACAATCATATCACTGCCCATATTGCACTCTTTAACTTGGTTACTATTTGGGAGTGTGATCCTTCTCTCCTTGATTGCCATATGAGGGGATGCAGGCAGGGGCCACTGAAAGCAAGTGTACTGCTGAAGACAATGCAAACTGAAGGTATGATATATAATATACAGTACATCCAGTTACCAATGGTCACTCCGAGCTTTACATACATCTTGGACAGCAGTAACCAACTCTTTGAGGCTGACATTTTGCAGCACATTCAATTTTGGATACCTGTTTTTTAAGCATTTCTTGAAGTAAAGGTGCTGTTCTAGTTGAATTAAATAAATTGATAATCTGGGTCATATAGTGACTAACAGAAGTCAGATCATTTAAATGACCACTACAATTTAACCCCAGAAGGCCACTGTGACCCCCAACCTGAAGTTTTTTTTATCCCTTGTTGCTTTCTTTCCCTCGTCTACAGGAGTCGAGTCTTGTCCATTCCATTGATGGACACATTTTTCAGTTATAGAATAGGGATGGTTTCATGACAAAACTAATCAATTGTCTCAGATATGGCGATCAGCATCCTGATCCCATACTATCCCTTTATACTTTTAAAAGAAAAAAATTGTTGTACATGTTATAAACCATCAGTGACACCCGAAACGCCCCACAATCCTTTTTTTCTTGGTATTTTCTCTGCACAAGACAGAGCAGCAATGGCCAGTCTTTATTACAGGAAATTCCTGCACACAGGCAAAAAGCCTGGTATTTTACAATGGATTACTGCACCAATCAGGAAGAATTACACAAAGGACACAAGATTCAAGTAAGAATACACATGACTCTTGCATTAAGACTATATTTTGCTTAACTTAGATTTCAGCTTGAAATTTCTCTTTGCCAGTTCTACTTTATAGAATTAGTTGCTCAGGTCGTCCCTTCATGTTTTCGAAACACTGAAAGTTTATGGACACTGTGGCTTCATGTTTTTTCATTGGAAATTCTTAGAAAACAGCACAAAAGAAATAGATGCAGTTGACCATAGCAACTTTTTGTATGTTTTTCATCATTTCATTAATATGATTCAATTTTCTGAAATGATCATGAAAATGGCAGAATTTATATTGTTACCACCAACACTACTTTTGTTTTAAATGAACTGAGCATTGGAGACAAAGATTAGTGTATGCACAAAAGACTTCCACTGCTGATATAATGTAGGACAGATATTTACAACTACTATGTGGATGTACAAAATAAATAAATAAAAACGCTGGTTTGGTGCTAAAGCAGGGCTGCAGAACATGGACAACAGTAATGGGCATACAATATTTATGCTGGGAGCTCAAAATGAATGATAGACTTTTCACTAAAATTCCATATTGATTTTGCCCCAGAAGCTAGAAGTTAAATGAAAACTTGTACCAGAAAACCTAAAGCAGACCCCCCCACACCCCCCTTTTTTAATAAAACTGCTAAGACCATTTAAAACACATCAATCAAAATGTTACACTTACATATACCATTGTCCCATATTTTATACACTGTGCCTGATTTTGCCCTGCCCTTGTCTTCTTGCTTCCCGCTCTCATGCCATTTTTTAAAAAAAGTAATTGGTGGGCAGCTTCTTTTTCCGGGTTTTCCTGTGCTCGGCCATTGATGTATGTACAGAACCTCACATATAGGCAGTAAAACATATCTATGGGTGAATTAAAAAAACCTCAGAGGATTTCATTTATCATTGTGTAATCATAATTCATTTATCGCTGTGTAACAGCCTTCTGGCTCTTGCAATATGTCATCTCTGGAGAAATAACATTTTCCCAGAGATGTCACAAGAGTTAGCAAAATTTTGTGAAAATTCACAGCTTTGAAACAAGATCTCCAGGAAGGGTAGTGGTGACATGGGCTTCCCAGAAGACATCTGTGCATATGGGCCTACATCACCAGTGCCTTGAGGAACCCTGACGTGTGATCACGTAAAAGGAGAAAACATTATTTCTTTTAAAAACTACTGCTTGATGATGGTTTTGGATCAGTATGCAGAGTTTCATACAACAGGGAATTCTGTGGGGGTTTTTTTGAGGGGTGGGGGTTGGCCACTATAAAAAAGGACCATCAGCTGTCCCAAGAAAATCTTTACTTGAAAGAAATATAGAAAGAAAGATGTATAGAAAGGGCAGGTGTGCCATATATCAGCTCAGGATCCTTTTCTTAATCAGCTAAATAAGCAGCAGGGCTACTGCTATTGGGGTATGGCTTTGAGTTTTAGTACTATTTATTTGCAAACATAATATAAGTTAATGTATGTTCTTTTTGTTATACTAGGAAATGAATACAGTTGTTCTTATAAAATGTCTCTTATATACAATTTATATACAGAAATTTAAAGTCTCTTGTGGAATTTTGCATGTCAACCCGACTCATAATCTGCAAACTCAAGTGTTTGGTATAGTATGGTTCTTAGGGGTCTCCTTCATCGGCATGTTGACTAGTCCTATAGAAAATCCAGGGATTGCTCAAAGCTGCGCCAAGACCATATTGATTTACTCCTTTCCACATTGAATGGAGACAGGATCTTGAAGGGCTGTTGCCTTAAGATTTCAGGAATCCACCAAGTGTATGAATTCACTCATCTTCTTCTACGTATGTGGATGGAAACCAGCCAACCTGAAACAGAACGCAAATTGAATGTCATGATTACATGTTCTGATGCTTACAATTTTGTCTGAATAACCATATTTTTAATACCTATTCCTAATCATCATGTTAATTTAATTTTCACTGAAAATGCAGCTGATAATCATGACACACAAATGCATTATTACTAGGGGTACTTATAAGACAACCATTACTGAAAAAAGCTTACTGTAGGAAACATGAAGAAGTGTATATTTTGCCTGAGCAGTACTGTGAAAAATTCACCTATTTGTCTTCAATTCCTCCTGAAAAATAGCAGTGCATTGCCTGTTATGTGAGGGTGCCTAGGCACTCCTATGCCTCATAGTTGTACAATGTGCACCTCTACCTCTGACTGCTAGTCTCAGAGATTTGGATTAAGATTTGGAGATGTGAAGTAAGATTTGGAGATGTGAAGTAAGATTTGGTGATGTGAAGTAAGATTTGGTGATGTAGTATTCCTTCCTGGAGACGTTAACATGAGAAAGCAAAGCTCTGTCTCTATCAAGCTGGCAACCTCCAAATACAGACACAATGCAGAACAACACATGGTACGTCAATTACACTGAAAAGATCCACTTTCAGTGCAGACCACAGACAATACTGATGACTAGTCTATTGCCCTATACCTGCATTTTTTTGAGCATAGCTTCTAGAGTTCAGTTCCTCTTTGAGATAGTATCCTCGTAAAACTACTCAAAACTCTGCACTTTATTAATTGATGCATAGCTTTAATCAAAAATGACAGTCTTGGGATCTCAATTATAGCATACAAAAGTTGTTCCATAACTTCCCAGCCTAATCTAAAATAGCTCTAGTTTTATGATTTTTGTTTGAACTTAAAAAATCATGTCTTTAGAGACACCTAGAGATTTCAAAACTATACCATAAGGTCACAACTGTAAAGAACTAGGCCGATGAATTACAGTATGAGAATGAGTGTTGAAGATAACACTTGATTGTTGGACAGGTCATCTGAGGTCACCATTTAGGAACACATAGGCAGGATATACAAATAAATACTATAAGATCGAAGTTTATTGATCAGGCAGGTTAGTGAGACACTAAACAACAGTAAATATGGAGAAAAATGTCCCAGCAAATGGATATAAAATAGAGATAGCTATTATCAGTCTAATTAAAAGGAAAATGGGATTTTCCCTAATGGCTCTGTGGGCTAGATTTACTAAAACTTGTGCACTCAGAATCTGGTGAAGTTGTTTACAGTAATCAATCAACTTCTAATTTCAACTTGTTCAATTAAGCTTTGGCAATAAAACCTGGAAGCTGATTGGTTTCTAGGCAGAAATGAGACTGATTTTGCACTTTCCAGCTTTAATATATTAAGCCCCTGTGTGTATTTGACAGCTTTTAGCTATTTTCCATGTACATTATCAGACAGAAACAAGAATGAATGATGTACAGTACATACAAATATTAAATGAAGATAAGTGTACAAATATCATAGTCTATGATGTTCCAATAATATTTATAGTGGTTTCTTCTTGTTTTTGTGTATTTTGTTTTTAAATCAGGACCACTTTCATTACATATGTCCTTTATCAAGTTGTTTTCATGTCTAGAAATTTGATTGGTTCTACCCTACTGGATTACAACCTCTCCCGCTGCCTTACCTTTCCATTAGATTCCCCTCTCCACCAGCCATTCGTCCCTGATTTTGTATAGATCTTCACCACATCACCCTTGAACAGGGAAAGCTCTCTCATGTCTCTGGCACAAAAATCATAACGAGCAATGGCAATACCTAGAACCTTAGGATTGAGGACTAGAAGAACACAGAAAATAGAATTAGAGAAAGAATTATGAAAACAAGCATTAGACTATTCAAATCTGCCATGTGGACAGCAATGATAACAAAATCTATGGTAACAAAATGTATTTTCTAATAAAATAACACGTTTACACTGGAACTACATCCTAACAGTTTTATGAAACTAGGCTGTTATGTGCAAGCTGACGGTAAACAAGAAACCTCTATGATATCCTTATTTGCTGAGAATGCGCCAATGCCATGTCACGCAAAGGAGGTTATCTGTAATTATTATGTCATATTGTGCCAAAATATACCACAATGCTTTACTAAAGGGAATACAACCGATGCATTTTGTTAATGATAAAAAAAAAAAAAAAACGGAAGACAGAGAATAAGATGTATGTGTTAGTTACAATTTGCATACAATGTTGAATCTACACAAATATACCTTAAAATCAAGGGCATGTGTTGTAATTTTTTGACTAGTATGGCAGTGTACTAAGAAAGTGTTAACCTGGCCATACTTTGAATTTTAGCTGGCTCCTGATGAACTAGTTGAAATTCGATTAGTGCATGGCCCGGTCAGCCCCCTCCCAAGCAAAGGGGCCAGGTGCAAAGTTCCAATCTAATTAGATGCAGCCACTGCTTGGGTATTCTGGCAGCCCCCATTACCAAAAAAATCTAACAATAAAAAAAATGACAGATGCATCACATCTGTATATGCTTTTAAATGAACCCTTTCTATTTGAGTAGCTGTTTTAGAACAGAGCATTTTTTTACAATTCACCTATGAGCCCAATGACTTGTCAAACACATTGCCATTGTTAAGCGATGTATGTAGGATAATTAAACTGTATTCCAAGTAATAGGCAAAGAAAAAGAATAACTTTTCTTTGCTCTGAAAACCACTGGGAGCAATGGAAATACCCATTATTTGGAGGAACATGTGACAGATACTTGGTAATAAGCAGACAAACGCTCCTGTAAAGTCTACATTGATCCTGCCTAGTAGTCCTCCTTACTTGTCAAATAGGCTACACATCAAGTTAAGGGACCACAGAGGAGGACTTAACCAAAAAATGTGAGATTTATATCTTTTATCCGCCTAAATCTTTGAATCTACTAATAATTTTGGCATGTGGTTTTCACTGCAGACACCCTTTGCTTATGTCACTTTTTACCATACACTCATAATAAGCTGGCCAGGTCTGTGATAGGTTCATTTGAGTGGACCTTGCAAAAAATGCAAAGTCCACTTATTTTTCAGTTACACCCCATCCACCCTCCACATTCCACCTAATAAAAATGCTGAATGAAAGCAGAAAAAAACATTAAATAATTTAGAAAAATCTTACACAGCAACCTCTCCTAGGAGAGGGTGATGTGAATGGGCCTGAGAACTCTCCTATGGATTTCTCCTATGAGAAGGTGCTCCTACACCGTGCTGGAGCCTCTTCTCATGAGATTTTTGACCCTGAGCCTTCCTATGATCCCAAGATGATGACATCACTGCTGATTACATGAAGCAGTCATAAGCCAACTAGTAAGGTGAATTTTTTCATATTTTTGTTTCAGTATTTTTCCTTTTTTTCACTAAGACTCCAAGCAAATCTGTGTACTGTGGGAATGTGTGCATTACCGCATAGTCTGAAAATGCACGTTGTAGTGCTATTCTTTCTTGCATGTGTTTTAGTGTCCCGCGGAACTTATTCAAATGACTGGGCTGCCCTAACACAACATACAATAATGCTCAACATAATGTACATTAACTTGTTTCTGTTAATGTACTGCAAAAGCGTGAATGAATCCTTAATGTTTTTACATGGGGGAGGGGGGCTGCAATATAAGCAGACCTTGTAATTTATGCAAGGTATGGTTTAAAATAATATTAGTTATTTGATTTGCTACCCATATCAGATCATTACAACATTCTGTTATCAAAGAACAGAATATACTTTACTGGATTAATAGTTATTAGGAGATGATGTCATGCATTTGAAAATGAACTGTATATTACATGCATTCATTTTGTTAAAGCATTCTCATTATGCCTGACACAGGCACACCTAATACGCACATCTCCACAAACAAACCATAGATTATAACTGTAGGACCATTGTTTCTTCTGTTGTAGGAAAGTATTCACAATGCAGCAGAATCAACTAAACGTTTTAAACCTAGAAGTCATCATCTTCCATCAGTTTTTTTTACCTGATGGTATTTGTTTTGGATTGTTCACAGTAATTGTTAATATTTGACAAAAAAACAAGTGTGCATGCTCCTATAGAGTAACCAACTTGGTTTAAAAAGGCTGGGATAAATACTGTCAATGAAATTTCCTAAACACGGGCGCCAGTCACATTCACACACACAGCATGATATAGGTCATCAATTACAGAGCTGCCAACTTTTACAAGGATAATGATTGCATGCTCTAGTTTATGGTCTAGTGGTTGCAGTGTTTCCCATCTTCAGCATTGAGAGACCACAAGGTAGTATAATTGCTATGTAGGCTCACAGGCGTGTCCATCTGTAATATCCTAAAGTGTATCTATAGCCAAAGCTTTTTTTGTTTTGGATAGAGTAGGGAAGGGTTAGAACCCCTGCAGGTTTTACCACTGTCGGAGAATTCATTAGAGAGATTGCTTCATTTCCTGTCTGGTAAAAAGGCTGTCCCTGGAACAGAAAGTGATGAGAAATCTCTTCAAAAGCAACTCAGACAAATGTAAAAATGTATTTTTAGTTTAAAGGCTAACTCCATATTTTGCACCATGTTATAAGTGATACCTGTATTTAGCAAGTAACATGTAACGTAGTGCAAAGGGGACCCCCAACCCATCCCCCCATGAATCAATAAACTACAAGTCCCATCTACCACCTTGGCAGACAGACTTGTAGCTCTCAATGGAACACAAGGGCAGTGATCACCACACTCACAGCCCACTGACACTTCCTGTAGCACTCTAACTAAACGTCTGTGAATTTGTATGGACATATAGCTGGGGAAAGAACCTATATATATATATATATATATTCTATTGTAAATAAATCAATTACTTACTTGTCTGATCGAATTCCACCATTTACTATCACAATTAGTTCATATTGTTAATATTAACACCTTGTGAAATAATTAAATATGTATCTATTCATATAAAACATGTAGTAGTAAAGATATTTAAGTTTTTTAATATCACAATAAAATTATCAATATATATATACATTTTAATAAAAAGAATATAAAAAATATTAAAAACAATACCCATAAAATTGATGTTATATTTATTACTCTACAGTCACCATGACTACTTAACTCCGCAATCTCCATTCTTTACAAATCACTAAAGAAACAATATCTGTATCTAGCAAAAGTGCATACCATCGTGTCTTTTTTTTTTGTCTGAATGCCTTTTCCAGTTGACCCACTCCAATACTGTATCTTTTATATATACCAAAGGGAGGAGTCCTTGGCATAGGGGGGTGGCAAAATATCTAGAGACCAAATGCCCCTTATAACCATTTTTTATTATATATATATGTGCTCTAATGTGGAACCCCAATGGTCTCCAGGTGAAGCCAATGTATTGTATGCCACAGGGACACTGGAGAAAACACACAACACCTTACCTATTGCAAGTTATAAAATCGCTGATATTGTATTTCCTCTTGGTAGTAAAAACCTCAAAGTGTTTTCTTTTCCTCTAATTTTTATTGACTATATTACCTAACCAAAGAAACCTACTGTATCCAAAAGGTAACAGCCCTATTCAGATACTGTACGTTGGAGGACCAATCACACTCCTGGCCATTTTAACTGGCACAGTTGGGGCATATTTGTATATGAAGGATGGCTTATCTTGGAAGATTAGGCTAGATGTTGATCTTGTTTTTAGAGTAGCCCAAGGCTTAAGCATTTTTTTTTCTCTATGTAAATATTGCTCATTATATCTTTCTTGCACAAATCTCTTTTCCAACAGTTGTGATTGTTGTAAAAAAGCTTTTTCATGGATGCAATTTCACCTAATACATAGAAATTGGCCTATTGGTACATGGTACAACCAAGACGGGTGACAGCAACTTGTGAGGGAAATATATCCATTTATATTGGTCTCCTTGAAATTCTGGTATAAATCCTACCATCCTAAACAAACAGATTTAAATGAAAAAATACAGCACTAGTGGAGTGATAATTATATGTGAGCACAATTTTTTTATCATTGCTGTTGAGACCATTCATAAAATCTATCAAAGTATGTTTATTACCTTTCCAGATGAACATAATTTCATCTATAACACGCTTATAAAACATTAAGGTCCCGGTCACACTGATCCAACTTCAAATGTCATTCCAACTTGAGGTGCGACTTGCATAGTCTTGCACCATTTTAGAAATCAAGACCAAGTCAGAATCGCACCCATATGATCGCTTTAACTGTGGACAATAGGGTGCGACTTGCAATGCGATCAGCAACTCGCATTGCATGGCAAATCACATGGCAAGTTGCACCCGGTGTAACCGGGTTGTAATTAAGGTTTTTTTTAGCTAAAATATTTTGCGTTTCCCATCTAGTCATAAAGATGTTCACAACACTGGAGGCAAATTTAGCCCTCATTACAACGCCCATAACAGGTCTATAATATCTGTCACTGTACAAGAAATATTTGTGTGAGAAGCAAATTTCCAAAGATTTCAAAATAAAGTCCTTTTGTACATCATTTAACTCACTAGAGATGTTTAGAATCCATTTGACGAACGTGAGGGCTTCTATATGATCAATGATTGTACAGAGCGATCCAATGTCCCCCGTAACTAAGAAACATTCAGGCTCAATTTCTAATAAATTCAATATATGTTTAATATTTTAGTATAAGAACCTGTTTGTTGGATAAGAGGTTGTAAAAAAATATCAATGTATTGACCCAACCTCGCTGATAAAGAGTCCATACCATTTACAATAGGACACCTGGGAGTGTTTGTGTGATTTCTAGGTATATTTGGTAAATAATGTATA